TGTGTGTGTGTGTGTGTGTGTGTGTGTGTATTCCTTCATGGATCTAGTAGGGCAAGGTAGTAGACATAATAAGAAAGGTATATACTTTGACAGAAAGTCGTAAGTCATATACAAAAAGATAAAGGGAATCAGGGACATTTGAGCAAAGAATTGAAGGAAGTGTGAAGTGTGGTATGTGGATATCTAAGGAAAGAGTTGCTCACGTAGAGTAAAAGCCAATGCAAAGGCCTCGAGGTACACAAAAAACAGCAAGAAAGCCAACATGGATAAAACAAGATGGCCAGAATGGAATGAAGGCAGGAGTAGACTTTAAACTGGGGTTGGTGCAATCTTGGTGTTTGACAGTCATATTGACCATTATAAGGATTTCAGTCTGCATGAGGTAGGGAGCCATTGAAGACAATGAAGCTGAAAAGTAACTTTATTTGACATATGTTTTAAAAGGAGCACTGTAGTTGCTGGTTGGGAACAGAATATAATGTATATCAATTCTATGTGGGTTTTTTTCACTTTGAACAGCAAGCATATTTAATTTTTAGCCCTTTTCTGTGTAATATAACATTCCACTTCCTCTCTTTAAAAAATGCAATAGATTCCTCAAAAAATTAAAAATGGAACTTCCATTTGAAATGTCTAAACTGTTATTTTTTCTAGCTTGTCCTCTGAATAGCTATTCTCCATCCAATTCCTTTCACAGCTCTAGTGACTAAAATTAAGTAAATGCCTTTGGATGTAACTGGCATTTTTGACATGCAAATGAAGAAAAAAGAATAAAGGGGCAGAAGAAGGTATTGGAGAGAGAAGTGGTTATTCTAGTGGCAGAGTGGAATACAACAGCATTTAGAGCAGCCTTACTTCATGTCACAAAGGCACAGTATTGGGTATAATTCAGGCGATTTTCTTCATAAAATTATCTTGGACTGCTTCCTCTAAAACTTTAATATATGGCTTCATAGATAAATCTTCATCTTTTGTTATTGACTTTAAATCTATTCAAATTCAGTAACAGTTTAAAATTATATATTCAATGTTCGTCACTATATATATATAGTGACGAACATTGAATATATATATGAGATTCATTCATTCAGCATATATCTATTGAGTGCCTACTATTTTCTAGGCAGTTTGTTATATACGTGGCGTGTGTGTGTGTGTGTGTGTGTGTGTGTGTGTGTGTGTATTCCTTCATGGATCTTGTAGGGCAAGGTAGTAGACATAATAGGAAAGGTATATACTTTGACAGAAAGTCATAAGTCATATACAAAAAGATAAAGGGAATCAGGGACATTTGACCATAGGGCAAGTTTACAATATGTAATTCTGTGCTGGCTGCTAGCGATTCAATATACCATTAACTTTAGCAAATTATATGAATGTTTAAAGTATTATTTCACAAATAACTTAGACTTACAAGGAATTTCCCTGTATCCAATCTCCAAAGCATGAAAGTAATTCATAAATTCCCTAACTGGAATTTTGAAAGCTTCAAAGAGGCCCATGTCTTCAAACAGTCTGTATGATACCTGTAAGACAGAAAGCAAAGCCAGGCAGTTTGTTATATACGTGGCATGTGTGTGTGTGTGTGTGTGTGTGTGTGTATTCCTTCATGGATCTAGTAGGGCAAGGTAGTAGACATAATAAGAAAGGTATATACTTTGACAGAAAGTCGTAAGTCATATACAAAAAGAAAAAGGGGATCAGGGACATTTGAGCAAAGAATTGAAGGAAGTGTGAAGTGTGGTATGTGGATATCTAAGGAAAGAGTTGCTCACGTAGAGTAAAAGCCAATGCATAGGCCCCAAGGTACACAAGAAACAGCAAGAAAGCCAGCATGGATAAAGCAAAAAGGCCAGAATGGAATGAAGGCAGGAGTAGACTTTAAACTGGGATTGGTGCAATCTTGGTGTTTGACAGTCATATTGACCATTATAAGGATTTCAGTCTGCATGAGGTAGGGAGCCATTGAAGACAATGAAGCTGAAAAGTAACTTTATTTGACATATGTTTTAAAAGGAGCACTGTAGTTGCTGGTTGGGAACAGAATATAATGTATATCAATTCTATGTGGGTTTTTTTTTCACTTTGAACAGCAAGCATATTTAATTTTTAGCCTTTTTCTGTGTAATATAACATCCCACTTCCTCTCTTTAAAAAATGCAATAGATTCCTCAAAAAATTAAAAATGGAACTTCCATTTGACCTAGTAATCCCGCTTCTAGGAATATATCCCAAAAAACAGAAACACCAATTAGAAAGGATATATGCACCCTTATGTTCACAGCAGCATAATTTACAATAGCTAAGATTTGGAAACAACCTAAGTGCCCATCAGCACACGAGTGGATTAGAAAACTGTGGTACATCTACACAATAGAATACTATGCTGCTGTAAAAAAGAAGGAATTCTTACCATTTGCAACAGCATGGATGGAACTAGAGAGTATTATGCTAAGCAAAATAAGCCAGTCAGAGAAAGATAAATATCACATGATCACTCATTTGTGGAATATAATGAACAACATAAACTGATGAACAAAAATAGAACCAGAG